CGCTATGAGTCGGAAACGACTTGACGGCACTTAACAATAGGAATTCAAGAACAGGAAGAGACAAATAAAACCACAGAGGAAATTGTCAAAGATTTGTTGGAAGAGAATTTTCCTGGTATGATGAAAGATGAGAATATATCCATTCAGGAAGTCCAATGGACCCCAAACAGGATAGACCCCAAAAGAAGAACACCAAGACATATAATCATCAAACTCACCAAAACCAAAGACAAAGAAAGAAACATGAGAGCATCATGGGAAAAATGAAAAGTTACCTACAAGGGGCAACCAATAAGACTAAGTCCAGATTTCTCAGCAGAAAGCATGCAGGTGAGAAGACAATGGAATGGTGTATATAAAACCCTGAAAGAGAAAAATTTCCAACCAAGAATTATGTACCCAGCAAAACTGTCCCTCAGATACGATGATGAAATTAGGACATTTCTAGATAATCAGAAATTAAGGGGATTTGTTAAAACCAGATCAACCTTAAAAGAGATGCTAAAGGGAGCCCTTTGGACAGAGAACCAACAACAGCCAACAACAACAACTGACCATTAACACACATGATATAACCTAGAAACCAACCCAGCTATGGAAGTATCCAAAGTAAAGAAGCCTACGAGACTGTGAACAGGGAACCAGAGACAAATGAGGACAACTACAAATCAAAAAGAGGGAAATAACTGTGTCATTACAGAACTTCTAGATGGTAGGGAAGTCAAGAGAACTACAAGATAGAATGGACTGTTCTAAACTTGGGAAGAAAACTATAAATCACAGGGTAACCTCAAAGAAAAATGATGAGCCTTCACATCAAAATAAAAAAGAAGACCAGCACAAATATTTAGCAAATACTAAAAACAACAGCAACAAATGAAATGATAACATGATTCAGAAACAAAACGAGCTCAGCATAGAAAGTTATATGGAACAAAGAAATTGACACCACGAGAAAGCACATAACAAAAATGACAGCAACAAATTCATATTTGCCAATAATTACATATTTGGCAAGGGACTTATCTCTAAGATTGATGGAAAACTCCAACGCCTCAACACACAAGGAATTAACAATCCAATTGAAAAATGGGCAGAAGACATGAATAGACACTTCACCAAGGAGGATATTCAGGTGGCCAGCTAATACATGAAAGGATGCTCACAATCATTGGCCATCAGAGAGATGCAAATCAAAACAACAATGAGATACCGTCTCATCACAGAACTGATGACAAGTTTCAATGAGACAGAAAATAACAAATGCTGGTGGGGATGTGGAGATTGGGACTCTCATACACTGCTGGTGGGACTGTGAAGTGATACAACCACTATGGAAAGCAATATGGCAATTCTTTAGCTGGAAATGGAGATACCATTTGACCCAGCAATCCCATTACTGGGTATATATCCTAGAGAGGTGAGAGCCAGGAGAAGAACAGATATATGCATAGTCATGTTCATCACAGCACTATTTACAATAGCACAAAGATGGAAACAACCTATGTGCCCATTAGCAGAAGAGTGGATGACCAAACTATGGTACACATACACAAATGGAATGCTATGCAGCACTAAAGAATAATGTAGAGTCTGAAAAATACCACATAATATGGATGAACCTGGAGGACATTATGCTGAGTGAAAGAAGTCAATCACAGAAGGACAAATATAGTATTAGTCTGTTGTTGTGGAGGGTCAAGGAAAGGTTTCTATATGGAGGGAAACTTTCTTTGTTGGTTGCCAGCGGTGGGAAGGGAGGGGAGGGAACACTGCAGGAAAAAAAAAAAAAGCATTGACCCATGTCACTTTAGTTTTATGTATTTCACTGTACATAAATTATATTTCAACAAAATGTATTTTTTTAAAAAAAGAAACAAAAAAAGACTTTATCTCATGTACTTTAGACAAATTATCAGGAGGGACTACTCCCTGGAGAAGAACATCATGCTTAGTAAAGTAGATGGTCAGTGAAAAAGAAGACCCTTAACGAGATGGATTGACACAGTGGCTGCAACAATGGATTCAAACAAAGCAATGATTATGAGGATGATGCAGGACTGGGCAGTGTTTTGCTCTTTTGTACATAGGGTAGCTATGAGTTGGAATCAATTCCAAGGTACCTAAGAGCATTAAGTAATTACTATATGCCAGACACTATGCTAAGCATTTTACATTTCATCCTCACTACATCCCTGTTAGGTTACCAACAACTCTTATTTCCAATACTTGCCACAGTTAATCACTCCCTTTTCCTTGAAACTCCTTTCTTTCCATTCCAGGCTGATATACTGTCCTGTCTTCCTTTCCATCTCACCAACTTCTCCTCCTTAGTCTGCCCTTCTCTCTAGACTATCAACATTCAGATGCCCCAGCACTCAGCTCCTACCTTCCTTTTCTGTCTACACTTCCCTGAAGTGATATTACTTAAGTTCATACCCTTACATACCACCCATGTGCTGAAATATCCCTAGTTTCTATCTCCCTTATATTCTAGTATATTCAATTATCCACTCAACATCTTCACTTGCATGTCAACCACACAACTCAAATGCAATCTCCAAAGCTAAACCTCTGATCTCCATTTTCTAAACATGTCCTTCCTCATGACAATGTATTTAATCTTCACATCCGTGGATGAGTATACTATTATTTTTATTTTACAGATGAAAACACTGAGGCACAGAGAAAATAAAACATCATTATTCTGCCTTCTTTGGCCTTTCATATAACTGGCAGTAGTACACAGACAGGAGCTCTGGTAGCATAGTGCCTAAGGCACTTGACTGCTAACCAGAAGGCTGGAGGTTCAAACCCACCAGCCACTCCTCGGAGGGAAGGTTGAGCAATCTACTTCCATAGCGATACTGCCTTAGAAACCCAAGGAGGGGTCGCTATGAGTTGGGTCCAACTCGATGGCAAATAACAACAGTACACAGATACACACATTCCACATTCTAGTGCCTCAGGGACTAAGAAAAGAGATACGGAGTTACATTAGACGCTCCTTCATAAGATATTAAGGACTTATACCAGGCACCAAGCCAACAGGAAACCAATACTCTTGCAAATTCTATTAAATAACTTTCTTTCCTATGTTTCTTAACATTTTGGTAACTATGTCTCAAAAAAGGATATGAAAACATTCTAAAACATGGATTCTCAATTCTAGATGCTCATCAGAATAATCTAGGGAGCTTTTAAAAATACAAATGGGCCCTATCTGGACCTACTAAACTTAGGAGAAGGTACTAGAAATCTGTATTTCTAAGAAGTATGCAAGCAAATTTTAAAGCTAATAACTTGTTACATGAATCTGGGAAATCTCTGTTCTAAAAAGAGTTCTTTGGTTCTCAGAGAACAAGCAATGACTATCTATATTTATCTGCCTAACAGAGACTGAAAATGAAATGAAATTGGGGAGATAAACTAATTCCAATGAGCAATAAGACCAATCAGGAAATCCAATAAGTGATTGGGATTTTAGATCAGGACACAAAGCACTTCCAGGTGGTCCAGAATTTGTTAACCCTGAGAAAGTCTGTAACCAAGTGAGGTCATTCTCTGGTTTAGGAAGGTGCCTTTCAGGCAGTAAGGACCAACATGATTGGTCCTTATATATTCTCCGAGTGCTTACTAGGTATTATGAGGGAACCCAAGTTTTTGTTGTTGTTGTTTTAATTTTTATTACGATCTGGATGAAAGTTTACAGAGAAAATTCATTTTCCATACAGCAGTTCATACACATTTCGTTTCATGACATTGACTGCAGTTCCCCACAATGTAACAGCTCTCTTCCTATTTCCTCCCTGTGGTTACTTCTTCCCTGTGCCCTTCTTTCCTATGCATTCCTATCCCTGAGCTATGACCCTGTGTAAATACTGCCCTTCTGTTCTCTCATGATTGATTGTTCTAAGGAGTGTATCTGTCTGATATAAATATTCATCCTATATGCCCACCTATTGTTTGGCTGGAAGCCACGGGAGTGTTCAGTTTCACACCTGAAGGGTAACTAGGGGCCATAGTCTCAGGGATCTCACTAGGCTCTATCAGACCAGCAAATCTGGTCTTTTTTTATTATTTTGAGTTTTGTTTCATATTGTTTTCCCACTCTATCCAGGATCTGGGAATGCAAGTGTTTTAAGAGGTGTGATAAGTGTACACCAGCAACAAAGAAAGCATTGTTAACACTGCCATTTTTGTATAAACCCAAATGTACATTTTGTTTATATATACAACTAATAATTACTAAAGTACCATAAATGCTGAAACGAAGCCAAATGCTTATTGAATTCTTACCTCTGTAAGTGCATGTAACTGTCCTTGATGTACACATACACCCATGAACCTATAAAACAAAACAGATTTTTTTTAACAAATGAAGAAGACAGGACATAAATACCATGTAGACAAACCAGGTCAAGTTATACATGAACTAGAAATAAGCCTATACCTGTAAAGCCCCTTGAGTTCCCATACAACCCTCAATCTTTCCATTCCAAGCCAAACTGGTGAACTTCTAAGTTAACTATGGAACAACTGGTTGTGGAAAGACCTAGTAGTAAAAACGATGATGGAAGACAGAGAGTGGTAACCCTTAAATATAGCATGATTTAATGGAAAAAGTGGGAGCTCTGGTAGCATAGTGGCTAAGGCACTTGACTGCTAACCAGAAGGCTGGCGGTTCAGACCCACCAGCCACTCCTCGGAAGGAAGGTTGGGCAATCCTACTTCTGTAGTGATACTGCCTCGGAAACCCAAGGAGGGGTTGCTATGAGTCAGGGCTGATTCGACGGCACATAACAACAACAACAATGGAAAAAGTACCAAACTGGAAATAGGGAAACTTGATGCTGTTTTCAACTCTGATATCACCTAACTGCATGCTCATTTAAAAAAAAAAATCACTAACTTCTGGGGCTCCATTTCCTTATCTACAAAGTAAATGGGTTGAACTATCCGCATAGTGGCTAAGACACTTGCCTGCTAACCAGACGGCTGGCGGTTCAAACCCACCAGCCACTCCTCGGAAGGAAGGTTGGGCAATCCTACTTCCGTAG